ACCTTTGAGTGGGTACATATTTACACAGGCTTCTAAACGCTCTTCAAAGGGCACCGGTTAGCACTTTTGAAGGCGGTGGAAATAATGCAATGTCCTCCAGTCATTTAAGCGTCATACCATGTGGCTCTAGTTCATAAATCCCACAAGAGGATATGACAGATGTCAGGATTTGTAACACAAACTTAATTTAGGAAAACTGCTAGCTGAAAAAAAAGGCCTTTTAAGCAACAGATGCACACTTCGAAATTTAAAGCAGAATTACCATCTTAGATGCGTCAGAGCCCATAAAACGGCTTCCAAAACAACTTTTAATGCAAACTTCTTAAGTCCATAAACCACATGTCCGTACTCATATCCTGCTGGATTACATCCGGAGCTGAGGATGAAATCAGTGAGGAAAAGGATGTCTTTCGTTGTCTATAGCCTCATGAAGAATGACTTGTCTAGAACAAGCCTGCTATCAATTATGCAAAATGTACTGCTGTTAATGGGAACAACCTTGAAACTCTTTGGCACAACGAGTCAGTCTAAACTCTTGCCGCGATCAATCATGGCCGCTGTAACTCAGGTGAATGACAGTCTCCTGAGTGCCTGCCCGCCTCTAAATCTCCTCCAACTGTGCATATCGATAGCATTTCACCGCCTCCCTAACAGAATGTATTGCGGCTTGATTATTTAACGGTGTTGTCTGCTTTTCGTGACGCGTCGTCAACAAGTATTGAATTGTGTAAAATGGAGCAAGGCACAAACATAATCAAATTATGCAATTATTTTCCATTGATTCAGTGTATTGCCACATGGACTTGCTGTCTGTGTCCTATTTTGCGAAAGCATGCATGTGTGCAGAAAACTCTTATTAGCTGTATATCTGTGTGTGGAACAAACACAGACTCCCAGCGTTTCTGAAAATCCCAGAGTGACAAAACATCTTCCAGAGCCGGTGCACAAATCACAGACTAATCCAATCCGTCCAATCACTAACGAAGTACGCTGTGTTTAAGCAGCATGAGCGCGTACACATTTATATGATAAACCGGCCACTTTTCCTCTGTAAAGCGCACGCGAAGACACGACGCATCTGCTGAAGCTTTACCCAGCATCCTCTGAGCCACGTGGAGGCTGCGGGAGGAACATATGGATAACGTGATGATGCTGACCTTGGCAACAAAGGCTGTTGATCTCAGCTGCCTCGCGCTCAGAGTATCATAACCATTCCTCTCACACCACTCTCAGACACACAGATGCTTATTTTTCATGCTCTCTGTTATTCTGCTGATCCAGTGTCTTCCCTCAGTTGAAAAAAACTCAAATATCAAGCTAAAACTGTTTTTTTTGAAAGACTAGTCACTAAAACATGCTCGGCCATGTTCCTCCATCTGTCGTGGACCTGTAGCTTGTTATTTGTGAGTAATATAATTTGTTGCTTGATCCAAAGCAGGATGCACGGGCTTACTTTCAGCCAGTGGAAACAGGAAGTTCATATTCATAAATAGCACGCAGCTCTATAAATAGAGCCTGCGAGGATTTATGTCCACAAATAAAAGGTTTTACGTCCCCAGATCCCTTCCTGATGAAAGTCACATGATCTACTGATGTCAGCAGAGAGTAGCGGCTCAATCACACCAGCAAGAGTGTGCTCGATATATACGGGAGGGAGGGTTCATCTCTTGGGTAGGAAACATTGGCCGGTGTGACTTCGTTAGCAGCGGTGGAATGATCTAGATAATACACTTATCCACGGCACCTCTGGGGGAAGGCGAGCTGCCGACATCTGATTAGATTCCACAAAGATAAAAGGATCATGAAGAGTCACATGTCTGGTTTAATACCGGGTGACTTTGAGAGTCTATCCCATGAATCAACATCAGACTATAAAGTGATAACTTTCTGTCTTTAATCTCCAGTCAAGAGGCGCTGATTTGTTCATCGCACTTGCGTTCTTTAGGTGAGTTTCATTTTCGCACCTGCTCAACTTAGATCACACTTGTTCTTCATTTTTACACCATGACGATTGGGAAACAACTGATACAGTTCATATTTCTTCTCTGTTGATGGTCAGAGCATTGAGGAATGTGGCAATGTGAATATAAGAGTAAATATTAACCAATGACGTATATTTTGTGTATAGCTTAAAGGAGTAGTTAGACACTTTGGGAAACAGGCGTATGTACATTCTTTCCAAGAATTAGATGAGAAGATTGATACCACTCTCATGTGTTTGTACTGTGAATATGAAGCTAGTCGGTTAGCTTAGCTTAGCACAAAGACTGGAAACAGGGGGAAGCAGCTAGTCTGGCTCCGTCCACAGATATCAAAATCAAACAAGCAGTACCACTAGAGCTCCCTTACTAACAAGATGTAACTCGTTTGTTCAATTCGTTCAGAAACCAAAGTGTAAAAATGACTCATCATTTTCACTGGAATCTTGTCAACCAACAGAGGTTCCAAGAAGTTACTGCATGCAGCCAAGATACAGTTAAACCACAATGTGTCGAGATATATTGTGTGAGTTTCCGCACCTTAGGACAAAGCCAAGCTAGCTGTTTCCCAGTGTTCAGTCTTTGTGCTAAGCTAGGCTTATCTGCTACTGGTTGTAGCTCCATGTTTAGTGTATAGAAAGGAAAGAGGTGTTGATCTTCTCACCTCTCGGCAAGAACGCAAATAAGCATTTTTCCCAAAATGAAGGATACTGAAGGATCATTAATGACCTTGAAACTGAGCACAACCTCGCAGGTTCACACATTTCCCAATAAATAGTTCACACAAGAAAAGAACAACAGGCACAAGCCGTTTTGCAGTCAACGTCTTTATTTGTTGCAGTGGAACACGCGTGTTTTTGGATAAAACAACAGAGCACATTCAGTGATGCACAGTGAGAGATTTGTAGCTGCAGAGCGTCTCTGCTTGTTAAAAGACAGACAGAATAGGACTGTGTTGAATTTGCAGTCCACACAGGTGCTCAAGAGATTGTGGGAGAAATCTATGCTCTCATCCTTGCAGACCAAAAATTACAGCTCATCTTTCCAATTCAATATTAAAGTTTTTTAAGCAGAAATCCCCAGATATTGTAATACATGTAAATGATCTCGGTTGGAACAAATACATTATATCATCCTCTGAAATAGAGAACACAGTGTGGCAGTGAAGCTTTGTAATCTGATATATCTTCTGCTATGAAGATACTGTGTATTGCCTCACAGAATAAAGATGAATGGATATCTTCATCTAGCATCAACAGGCTCTTTGATCTTCAGAGAGGTGGCATTGCAAACTGTCATCCAGCAGATGTTTCCTTTTCTTTGCTGATTAATTTGTTCATCCCTCCCTCATGTCATCTCTGCCTTCACTCTTTTTATTCTCAGTCGCTTAAAACAGCATTTAAGTTTCTCTCCTCAGCCTCTTGAGCATCAATATGTAAAACGTTAGGTAGAGCAGGGATGCTGAACCTCCTCCCCTGGAGAAAGAATGTGCGCTTTCTGTCCCCCTAAAATGGGTGAATAATACTTTACTGATAATAATAAACAAATGTATATTTGGAGAACATATTGTCTTGTACAACCAAAAGAATAGGGAGAGTCCTTGTGTGTCTGATTTAAATATGGCTGCCGGACAGAATCAACGATGGGAACAGAATATAACGTTTTTGATGCATAATTTTATAAAGTCAGTGATACAGACTGAAGGGGGTTTGTGGGTCTCACTAATAGTCTGTGACATCCAAGAAAACAGCAGTTTTCAAATGCCTCGGAGAGCTTTGCCTTTTGCACGGGCTTTTCTTCCATCAGGCTTTAATTACTGAGCCAAAGTCTCGATCCTGAAAGTTGTTTTTCTCACACTTTTTAACTTCGCTCCGTCTTTGGGGCTCCATGGGGACTCCGTGTGCGAGAGAGAGAGGGTGCTAGGAGCAGAATGGCACTTTAATTCTGCCCCTCTCCCCACACCCATCTCCTCCACCCTCTGCAGATCAGCACATGTATCCAATGGCAATCAAATTGTGATTCGATTTTAATTATGGGATCTTGACACACTTTAACACACCTCGGGCAATGTTGGAAAAGCCAGATTATCTCAAGGACAACGGAGAAACGAGCGTACGGACGTGAAAGAAAGCTTTAATAAAATCGTGCCAAATAATTATTCACTGTCGCTCTATCCAGTCATGTGTAATGAAGGAACAGACAAGCTGGCAACGCCACTGAATTGGTAATTTGTTTTTAGTGATGTACTGTTATCATTACATCTGCAGCAGCTGCTGAGATAATTTCGTCACGAAAACCCTCCAGGATTTCCCAAACAAGCTCCACCGTAGTGGGAGAAAAACTCAATCACTTGAGTAAAATCTACTCTTCCCAATTTACCAACAAAGTGTTGCTTTCAGTCACACATACGCTGACACACACTGTTTATCCTGGTGAATCATACCACCGTCACACAGACAGATGATATCTGTAACACTCAAAGATGATGCTTTTCAGCTCAATTCCCCTCTCACTTAGGTTTGTGTTAGTTCCATGCAACACCTTCTGAAAGGTAATTTGTCTCATGCACAATATTCAAATGATGGAGAATGGCTGTTTCTTAGCAGGAGGCGTGATCTGTCAGCAACAATCAGTTTGTCATCAACCCCTGCACATATTTTTCGCCGGGTGTCACGGGAAGACACGGAGCCTCCTCTTCCTCCTACACACCCGCCTCCTCTTCTTCTGCATTGACAGCGTGATGGACAAATTAAACCGGGACTGAAACTCAGAACTTTTGAGTGGCTCCACGCCTTTCACCAACTTTGTCTTGTAGCAACGAAAATAAGAAATTGTTGTTTAATTTGTACAACGTGTATAATTGAAATGATGTTTTCTTGCATCTTATTAGAGAAAAGATTGGATGAGGAACCTAATAGTGATTTACAAATCAACCCACTAATTGTATCTTCAGCAATCATTTGTTCTCCAGACTTCTGAGGACAATCTGCAATATGTTTTACACAAACAAATGTTATATCATTCATTTCAACACAAGTTGATATGTTTTCTTTAATAATTCATTTGTGCTTAAGAGAGCATCATGATGTGCAGTGAATGTTACAGCAGCAATGCGATGAAAATTAGGAGTACAGAATATGCCAAAAGAAACAACAACAACACACATATTTCACAATTCTGGTTGTCTATTGGAGGCCTCAGATTGTTGTTAAAAAAAAAACAGGCCCCCCTGGTGCGTAACCACCAACACACTGGCAGCAGCATCAACAGAAAGCGTTGAGGAGAATGAAGAAGGCTCACAGTGTCCTACATTGTAGAAGCGCCCATAATCCACATGGGCAGATTACTTAATTTCCACCTGGCCGTCTGCCAGTCCAGAGGATTTGTCCACTGCTGACAACATGACATTGCCCAGATGAGAGGACGTATCCTTGCATGTTTATTATGGCTGGTCATACAAATTATATGGCTATACCAACCAGACAAACACCCACATGTCTGTGCGACCAGAAATGTAAAAAATGGGGACTTTTGTTAAAAGGTTTCCTTATTAAGAAACATAAATCACAAATCCTGCATGACCGTGGCAAGGTTACATTCAACTCTGACCTCATCACTAATGCAGTGCAATGATACTTTTTAAGCAAACTGTTCAGACAGCTCGTCAGCTATTCTGTCGCGTTTTTCAGTCGCTACTTTAATTGTCACGCCTGGAATTTGTTCAGTCTTTTATCGGGTGCAAAAGGACATTCAATCAGATGTCAGAAAGGTGCAAAACCTGAATGGATACTGCACATGAAGCTGACTTTAAACCAATGATATAGCAAAGACATTTGTCTTTTTCTCATGTCCCTCTGCTGAGCTGCTACTGAGCTTTAAAAGCTGAAACAGAAAGTTTGAACAAGTGAAAGCACATATGGTTTTTTACAAAAAGGCCATTCACCATATATAAACAAAGCATTTCTATAAGTACTGCTGCATTTTTTTGGTACTTTTTCTAACATATTGTGCTGCTAATGGACAAAAATCATGAGCAGAAAAAGCGAGAAAATACACTTTCTACTTGATAGCCGTCTCTTGACTTTACATTGAAATATTGTTAACAAAGACACTCAAAAAAGTAACAATCACATTGTGTTGGTGACATATCCAACAAGTGCACCCTCCCTTTTACAACATTCTGTGCTGTCCAGTAACTGACTCCCTCATATTGTTTTTTTACTTTACATCAAACTGCATTTTTTTCCTGCGGTGGATAGAAGCTGTTTAATGGCTTGTGTGTCTACTCAGTGAAGAAATTCCACAAGGAAGAAAAAAAGAAACTCTGGCAGTGATAGCGATGTTTATGCCTTTGTTGCCTCTTTTACATTGTGTCCTCCAGCTCCAGGCTTGTTACTATTTTACTGACGAACAGCATTGAAACGAATGTCCACCACAACATTAAGGATGAACAAAAAAACAAGCTGCAAAAAGCATCAGTTTTATTCACTAAGCTGCGCCAAAATCCATTTGATTTCCTACATTATTTTAAAAAATAAATAAATCTATCCGTAAATATCCATGGAACAAAATTAGTGTTCTTGTTCAGCGAGAGCCGATTAAGAGCGGTGCTCTCGTTTGACATCTGCATCTCTAGATTTGATCTGTCTATCTTTATGGTGCACTTAGCTCCGCACTGCTCCCCACCATACTCATTCATGAACAAAATTACCACCCAGATGAGGAATTAAGGATTGTCCTTGAGGGTCAAGCCCAGTCCCTGCCCTCACTGGGCACTCGGCAGGGCTCCACGACTCTGTCGATACGCCGGTCCTGGGCAGCCGTCCGACATCGCTATTGACCTGAGCAGAGCCAGCCCATCCATAAAGCTGTTTGGGATATGGCAGCTGCTCAAGGGGCAGAGAGGTATTAAGCATAGATTTACAAGAATGAAAATGTCCTCCCTCCCTCATAATCTCTGGTCTTTTTTACACGCAAGACAAGCCATACGCCCATGAACATACACACACACACACACACACACACACACACACACACACGCACACACACTTACGTAATGCTGTCAGCACGCTGCATTGGCTTGTTTTGGACGCTCAACACACACTGTATATTGACAGAAAGCATGCACTGTCACTTCTGAACTGACGTCCATTCACTGCTTGGGCTCATGCATACTATTTAGACAGTTTGTAATTTTTCAAAAGTAATCAACAGCAAAAGGTTGTTCTTGTCCACCTTGAACTCATGAGCGTCCACCTTATTTCCCTTGCTTTCTGGTTTCTCTTCAAACAGGCAGTAAGCTCACAGCTCGCAGCATGTAGTCATCTACAATGTAACTGAGGAATACCGTTCCACAGCACATCAAAGCCTGTTGGAGCTCACATTCACTACGAATACAATGCAGCATTGTCAATATAAGGAATGCAACCAAAAAAGAGCTGTTTTCAAAGAGGAGTCAAATGAAAGCTGATCTACTGGAGAGAAAGCGCAGAATGACAGTCATATCATTACAGTAGACTGATGCAACAGCATATCTTCTTCTGATGAGCACACTAATTTGTCTCCTGCAATGTCTTCAGGGCTCAAATTCAATGGACACATCAACAGATACAGTCATATAAATATGTAAAAGTGTTGCACTGGTACCCTTTTCTTTGGGATTTGACTGACACAACAAACAGTCAGATTACTTGGCCTCTCGATCCCCGCGACGATGCTCAATGTCCTTACATCAGATCCTTTAGGAATCAAAAGCACGATCTTCACAGATCTCCAGAGCAGCTTTACTCGCACCACCAAACACTTCCACATTAGCGTCAATCCAAGGAACCACGTTGCCCGGCATGTAGGCTGAGCAGTTGGCCAGACCCACGATGTCCACGGGCCGCAGCACTCGGTCCCACATGTTGAACTGGCTCAGCTCGCCCACGAAGGCCTGCGTGGCGTCAAAACGGCCTCCGACTATGTCCTTCAAGGAGAGGCGGGAGAGGAAAGTTTGTGAGTTCACTTCTGAAGGAAATGTAATCAAACTTTAATTGAAATGCATCAATTCTGTTTGATTTCCATCAAACTGCCAAACAACTCAGAATATTTTTCAGTGTGCTGCCACTTTTAAATATACGTGTTCCGCGGTCTCCAATACCGTGCAACATGCAGCAATCTCACCTTGTGTGCATGACAGAAAACATCCACTCTAATGCAATATGTCTTATTGTCTCTCTGAGGACATCATTCATACGTCACTGTACATTTCTTTAGTATATACACCGGGCTGTCGTGAAGTTAACCGCTCGAATAACCCGCTAGCGCAGCTCCAAAGGGCGTAAAGGTGCCCTTTAGAAGTAGATGAATGAGGTAATACTGAAAGGGCCATGATAGCGTGTGAAGAGCCTCCCTGCCTTCTCTCCCCTGCTCCCTGCCTCTGGCATTGAACTCCGGGGGGAGAATACACCCAGGGATCTTACTGACACAAGGAAACACACACACACGCATGCGAGCACACCTGTTCTTTAACAGCTAAGCTTCTTTAGTGCCCTTACCTGCTCCTGGCCCAGGATGATCACCCCTCCAGGTTTAATTGGGTGCCAGGGGGCCAGGTTGTCCCCGGTGCCCAGACGCTCGCCATCCTGGTAAGCCTCCCAAAAACCGTCTCTGGTCGTCCAGGTAATGCATATGTGGTGCCAGCGTCCGTCACTGACTGACAGAGGGAGCTGGGCCACCTGCTCAGGAGTTCCCAAGAGCAAGGAGCAGGGAGGGAGAGCACAAGTGGAGTAAGAGGAGTCAAGAGAGATTTGAGATTAATTGCGGCATGCTAGAAACAAGGACAGCAATTAGAAGGGTTAGCGCTTCAAAGAGACAGCCCTCTGCAGAGAATTCTCCAGATGAGCCGGTGCGACATATACAATTTAGATTACCCAGGTGACATCAAGGGATAGAACATCCTTCAAAGCAGTTGGGTTGCTAACAGCAAAACAGTGTCCTCTTATGTTCAGAGATCAAAGAAAAACAACTGGTTATTTTACCAACCAATGACATCATAGTCCTCTGAGGATACAGAACAACACATGAGCTTATGAGTGTGTAACTCATTAGCCTTTTCCATATGAGCCTACGGAATTACTTCACACTCGTGTCTTGTTGCAGTTACACATGAACCTGAAAAGATGGGAAGAGTGACTGGAAATAAAATCCAAGCCACTTGCAACTACGGAGGCAATTGTTCTGGTTAAGGATGCCGGGTAGCATCTTAACACCACTGGGACTACAGGGAACACAGTATTATTATACAGTCTGTGTGAGTTGGAATAGTCTCACTGACTGTTAAAGATTTAGACATTTTAAAATGAAAAATAAATTGATGTTGCGTATTCCGCACTACTTAAAATATGAGAGCAGTGATGTTTTGTACAGAAAGAGTTTTATATTAAAACACCATATCCACAGAGCATACACTATGAATACATGACTCACGCTTTTTCATCCAAAAGACTACAAAACTCTCATAAACTAAAAGGTACAATTTTACAGTTAATAAAAATAGTAGAAATCATAATGTACCAATGGCCTTTTTAGAGTTACACTTTTTTGACTTGTCGTGACACCTAAACTGATATCTGAAAGTAATGCAAGTGTTAGTAGGTATGGCTTTGCTTCTCCTGCCTCTAAAATGTCAAAATGTCTGCTGTGAAAAAGGTCCATTGTGTATTTTACTTCTGGTTCAAAGGACATTTTCTTCTTTAGCTCCAAAAGGCTGCAGATAAGGTTCTGCAGATACAATGTTTTAGGAAGGTCATGTACTTATCTACTTCCTACCAACAGTCTATAAGGTTTTGTTAGAAATCAGCTCACATGCACGGTGTCGAAGAAGAACAAGTCCGCCATGTACATGTTGAGTGGTATCAGCAAGATTCTGTAACAATCCACAATAAACTCAACAGAACTGCCTCAAGATTTTCTCAAATTTGGGAAAATTGTCTTCCAGATCACACGGGATTAATAAGCATCAGATTACACGTGCTCACTTGCCAAAACAAACTCGTTTTTTCAATGTTGTACAAGACCAGTTGAATTCATTACAGATTAAAACTCCTGGCAGCTGCATTTGATTGGAAAATAAACACACCAGAAGCATGTTTTACATGATTTGACCTTTGGAGAAGAAAAAAAAAAGAGATATCGACAAAGTTCCTGAACAAAGAGACTAACCATTCTGATGAAGATGCTACTTTATAACAATGAAGATTCCCTCTCTGCATAGCCACCCACAAATACAAAATACAACGTTGCACTTTTTCGTCAAGGCAGCTTTCTGCTTCCCTCTCAGTATGCAGCCAAATGAACGGCATAACAACATGTGCCCCAGTGGACCCTGTTATCACTGCGAACAAGTTCAACACATGGATGTGCTGCTGCACATACGGCATTCATATTCACTGGTCTTGCCTCACTCTCCTCCACATCGCTCTCTTTTGCTCCGATGCTTTCTCTCTCTGTTACATTATAACTTCCTTTTTCCTGGCATCGTCTGATCTTTTGCTCTTTCCCCTCTCTCTCCTCAGCACCCCGTCGCCTCCAAAGCTCTGCAGCTTTTCTATTTCCTCCCCTCTTTCCCTCTTTTCCCCCATGCTCTCATCCCTTTCTCCCACCATCTTTCTCTCGTCTGTCTGACTTGAACACATGTATAATGCATGGTGAAGGGAAAGCTGTGAGAAGACCTGCCTGTGCCAATAACAGCCAACGTAAACAACACAGAGAAAGGGAGAGGAGGGGGGGGGCTCTCCAGTGCGTGAGCATTTTACAAAAAAATCCCCCAAATCCAACATTACACTGCTGCAGAAGTAACTGTACCAACAGAAAAACCTTATCACTACACCATCAACATAACAACTACAGTTATTTTCTTTATGAGGCTAAACGGCGTAAAATATTCATGCTCCGAACACTTTTTTTCCTGTTGTGTTACAGGAATTGAAATCCCGTTCGTTGACTGAAACCTCACAGTATGTGACTGTGTAGCAACAGAGAGCAAAGACGACAAGGCCTTCAAATGAGCACACCCGGCAGCACAAGTTCTCTGATGAATTACTGTTATTCTTGTGTGTGTGTGTGTGTGTGTGTGTGTGTGTGTAGAATGTCGGTCAATGATATGAAATGTTTATAAGGTGCTAAATTAAATATTCAGAGCTGATGGTCAGCGAGTGTCTCTCAGCATATCATGATTGTGCTCACATGTACATACATTAGCTAGAACAACCTGAACATATTCATGAATTCTTTGCATTTAATTAGCGTCACTGCTGATCCACTTTTACCAGCATCATTACAGCCAGCAGCGCTGCCAAGCGAGCATGAATGATTCTGAGCTTCCCTCGGAAAATCAGGGCAGAGGGAAAGAATCAAAGTTGCTCTCCTCTCCATCAACAAATAATTAAAGACCAGTGTGCACCAGTTTTTCATTGTGGACCTACCTTATCATTCACCAGTAGCTCAATGGGGTTGTTCCCCCATTCGATGAGGACTATCTCGTTGGCCTGGCCTGGCACGCCATAAGAGAACGGGGTTCCTATGCCGGGACTGGCGCTGGACTTGAGCCACATACACACGGTGAAGGCGTACATCTCTGGGAGGCTCTTCTTGATGCGTCCATACAAGTAGTTAGTGCGAAGCGAGAGGGACACCTTGAAGTCCTCGGGCGATTTGAAGGCATTATTACCTGTTGATGGACAATAATTATATATGGTTATATGGTTAAAGCAATGAAGTAAGTCGTCTTCCGATGTTGATGCTATCAACATGGTCCGCTGCCACTCATTCACAATGTTCTCCCACAAGCTCAAGCTCAAACTTCTCAGGATCACAGGGTGCTGCACTCTATCCCTGGTACTCGTTATTGTGAGCCCAGAGCTGGGAGACAACAACAGCATGTTACAAATTCAGTGTAGGGCAATCATCAGTGGAAACAACTCCACATTTCCAGCTGACAAAACAACACCACGAAGCCTCAAACGTCACTGTAGAATTGATTCAACACCTCTTGCATCGTCTTGACGTAAATTGAATTTAATAAGGCTCACAAAGGTAGTATTTATTGTGGGGCTGTTGTGGCAACCTCCTTTCAATGTGAGCAATTTACTTTGGTTAAAACTTGAACCCTCAAACAGAACCTCAATCGACTAAGTCTCGGGGGACATGGGTCCCACAGGAGTTGTCCAGTGAGTGGTGACATAATCTTCTAAAACAATTTTCCTCCCGGCAAATATATTCTGTTATTCTGACGTCTACCATCAAAGTGATACCCTGGAGTGTGGACATCCCTCCAATCGTTCTTAAACTAATTAAACATTCAGTATTGCTTTCCAAGCCTTATTTTTCAAGACCCGGAGCTGCTCCGAGAACGTCTCTGAGAAAAAAAGACTTGTGTTCTGAGATTTTTACTTGCATCATCAGGAATTTGCATAGGGATTGACTAATTAGAGCAAAATCTGGCAGACAAAAAAAGTCTGGCATTAAATCTGGCCAACATTTCACAGCACCCATTGTATCACTTACTTTTCTCTAGCTCCGTGATCCTCTCCAGGAGGGAATTGAGGGCGCTCTCGGTGCGTTGGCGGTGGGCCGCTGTTTCGTTGTAGAGCTGGCTCTTCTCCTCCTCCAGATCGGCCACCTTCCGGAGGAGCTGGCTCTCCAGCGCCCCAAGACGCTGCCGCAGCAGCTCTCGCAGCTCTAGTGGCAGAGGAGTCAGAGCCGAGACCCCTCCAGCTGACACGTTTGTGCTGGGGAGACGCAAACTCTGCTGCTGGGAGGCCGAGTGGGAAAGATTGCATGTATAGATAGATGGATGGATGGATGGATGAGGAATGATAGATGATGGATGGATGGATGGATGGATGGATGATGAATGATAGATGATGGATGGATGGATGATTGGATGGATGGATGGATGATGGATGAATGGATGAATGGATGAATGGATGGATGATAGATGGATGATGGATGATAGATGATGGATGGATGGATGGATTGATGATGAATGATAGATGATGGATGGATGATTGAATGGATGAATGGATGGATGATAGATGGATGATGGATGATGAATGATAGATGATGGATGGATGGATGGATGGATGGATGATTGAATGGATGAATGGATGGATGATTGAATGGATGAATGGATGGATGGATGATGGATGATGGATGATGGATGATGGATGGATGGATGGATGGGTTGATGGATGGATGATAGATGATGGATGATTGATGGATGAATGGATGAATGAATGAATGATGGATGAATGGATGGATGG